CGCCGCCAGTGCCACCTGGAGGGACCCCGGCCTCCACCCTTGGCTCCGCCCGGCCCACGGACCTGTTCGTCCCGCCCCTTGCGGCTCCTACACTTCTGCTTTTCAGCCAGTTTTGCCTCTTGCACTTTGTCCCTGCCTGTCCCAGTCCCCGTCTCCTTCTCTGCTCCGGACCTCTTGGCGCAGCCCTAACCCGGGCACCCTAGGCTCCTAGTGGGCGCAGAAGCCAGCGGCTGCTGCCTGCCCTTCGCCTTTGGGAGGCTCACGGCAACTTGGTTTCTTTGCTGGGGCCTTGAGGACCGGCCTGGGAAGGAGGGGTGGGTAAGAGCAGTAAGCGACACCGGGGCCTGACTGGGCAAGGGAGGGCCTTTTGGCTACAGGCGGGAGGGAGGCCACCCCCACCCCCTAGGTCTTGGCCCCACAGGCTTGGCGCGTTTCTGGGCTGGCGTTCTGAATACCTAGTGGAGGTCCACCTGAGCCAAAGGGCAAGGTGGCAGAGATGCACCCAGGGAAGCCTGGTCCTGCACCCCCTACACACACACCCCTCCATGAAAGGACAGGTGGCAGGGCACAGGGCCAGAGGGGATATTCACCATCCCCTCTCCTCTGATTCCACAGCAGAAATATCCATGCACCATAGCCAGAGCCCCCAGTCTAGGGGGGACCCAGGCCAGGCCTCTGGAAGGCTCCCCTCTCTGACTCATGGTTCTACCTCCCACTGTGCCCGTTATGGCCTGATGGGGACGGACCTAGCTAGATGCAGGCCCACCTAGCTGTGAAAACCCCTGTTCTTTGTGGTCCCTGAGGAGCGTAGCTGGCCCTTCCTGCAGGCCGGCCTAGCCACAGCTGCAAGGGGCTTGGTGCCTACCCCACCTCTCCTATCACCAGCACCTGTGACCAGAGATGTCCCCAGGCCACCTCAGCCTCCTCCACCTCCACTGCATCCCCACAGGGAGATTCCTGGGACCCCTTCAGAACCCTGCTGGGGTCTATTCGTGCCCCTGGAGGGGACCTGGGCGGCTTGAAGGCTCTACTCTGAGGTGCAAAAAGGGGGGCACTTGGGGATCATCAAGTGTCTTTGGCAGTACCAGAGCCTCAGCTCTGCACCCCTGGAGAGGCTCTTTGTTCCTCCTTGGGCCTGCAGCCTGCCTGGGCAGCACCACCCAGACCTGGGCCTTCCTGGGCTGCAGCTCACAGCTGCTAAGATGCAACCAGGCTGCCTCTGGGTCCCTGGGTCCCCCAGATGAGCCTGCAGATCTGGTGCCAAGAAGACATTCCTGGCCAGGGTGCAGGGTGAAGGGGACTTAGAGCCCATCCCTCACTTGCTGTGTGGTCTTTCCGTCTCTGGGTCCCTGACTCCCCATTTGCAAAATGACATGGGAGGTGGACTTTCCTCCCTCAGCCTGGGTCCACCCGAACACGCCCTCTGGGGAAGTGAGACCCAGGCCTGGAGACCCACCTGTGCCAGCTGAGCTGAGCAGAGGGCCTCTGATGTCTTCCCCCTGCTTTTGATAGGACGAGGCTCCTTTCTTCCCAGGACTCCCATGGCAAGCTCAGTTTAGGGCTTCCCAAGGACCTCTCCCTGTCTCTCCTATTTGCTGTGTGTTCAGCAAAGGACCCTGCAGGCGGCTGATATATCTCCCGGAACTACAGGCTCCCCCACACAGGACAGGTGCTTTTGGTGACTGGGGACTGACAGCCAGCAGGGCTTTTGGGAGCTGGAAATTACCAGCAGAACTGATCTGGAATCTGGCTTCCACCTTGCTGCTGGGGGGTCCCTGAGCACACTCTCAACCTCTGCAGGCCCTGGCCTCCTCAAATGTCCAAGGGAGGCAACAAAAGCACAGGTAAGGATGAATTGTGGGTGAAGGATGCACCAGGAAGCACTCACTTATCTGCATCTGATCCCCTTCTGTGCCCCTGGCCCTTGACCCCGCTTCCCACCTGCTTCCCTTCTGCTCCTGTGTTCCCGCCACGCTGACCGCGTCATCTCTCCCCCTTCCCACTGGATGTCCCCTGGCCCCAGATCTTCCTGCCAATGACTTCTCCCATTCAGGTTTGCCTGAATGGAGAAGCCACTCCTTTGGAGTAGCCACTCGGGGATGCCTTCTGGATCCCCTACCCGGTCCTTCTGGTTGGAGCTTCTTTGAGCTCTTAGAGAACCTTCTGCACTTGTTAGCTGACCCTCCGCCGCATTTCGATTGTCACCTCCATGGAGCAAGCCCGGATTTGTGTTGTTGCCAGTTGTACCTCCAGTGCTGGGCACACAGTAGGTGCTCAATAGGTGTTTGTGAGTAAATGGTCGGCTAGGTACACTAGGAGCTCCTCTATCAGCAATCCTCGCTGCAACCTGCCCAATCTGCCACTATGCCCGGGGCAGACACACAGAGGTACCTGCAAAGGCCTCAGGCTGAGCTGCCAGACCCTCATGGGAAGCTCTGCATTGGCTTTTTTTTTTTCTTAATGTGAAAGAAATAGTTGGACCGAGGTGACTAATCTTTTCCAGATCTGGTTACTTCTCAGCAGAGGGACAAGGGAATCTATCTATCTATCTATCTATCTATCTATCTATCTATCTATCTATCTATCTATCTATCTAATTTTTTGAGATAGTGTCTTGCTCCTTTGCCCAGGCTGAAGTGCAGTGGCTCTATCAGAGCTCTACAGCCTCAAACTCTCGGGCTTAAGCAATCCTCCAGCCTCAGTCTCCTGAGTCGCTGGGACTACACACGCAGTGAATTTTTTGTTTTCTTTTTTAGTAGAGACAAGATCTCGCTGTATTGCCCAGGCTGGTCTCCAACTTTTCAGCTCAAGCAATCCTCCCACCTCAGGCTCCCAAAGTACTGGGATTACAGGTGTGAGTCACTGCACCTGGACAGGTGATCTAGAAACAGGACCCTCACTTAGCTTGGACCCAAAGCCCTTCTGCCATGCTTCACCCCAGGATGCCCGCTTTGCCAAGTCCTGGGGGTTGAGGAAGGCTTGGGGCCATGTTGGGCTTCCAGTTGGGTTCAAGTTTAGGCTGTCTCCTTGTTTGTTGTATAACCTTATGCCATTTCACTTCTTAGCATTCTCAGTTTCCCCATCTGTAAAATGGGCACGAACTGATGTCAGCCTTAGCAAGACAGGGTCTGACCCTAGGAAGAGGCTGAGCAAAGTGAGCTGTTTAGACTGTAAGCCCCTTGGGGGTGGTTCGGTCTGGGCCTGGTTAACAGTAAATGCTGGGAATTTGTGAAATAAACAAAGCCATTCATTATCGGGTGGAAGGCTCCCTGTACGTCATCAGCCACTGGAGGGGTAATAAATTGAGGGAGAGGAGCAAAGGCCCAGAAAGCCTCCTAACAGTGACCTTTTTTGACCTCCAAAAACAAACAAAAAAAAACCCAACAATGTAGGATCTTCATGTGGATGGTCCTTCTCCTGTGAAGGAGTGAAGAGGCTTCTCAGACCCACCACCTCAGCTGTTAAGAACTTACTTGGCTTGATAGTAATAATAATAAAAAAGACAGTGCTGCATACAAATCCGCTTCTAGTCCTCAGGGTAAAGTGACTGAGCTCAGCCCCGGGCAAGGGCCCAGGCTGTATAAACTTTGTAAATGGCTCAACCACTTTCTCAATTCAAC